AAACTGCGATGACTGCGGGAAAGACACCAGCGGACTGGAGAACGGGAGTTATTGTGCCCGTATTCAAGAATGCTCCAATTATAGGGGCATAACGTTACTAAGCCTCCCAGGTAAAGTCTACGCAAAGGTGCTAGAAAAAAGCTGCCGCAAAATAACCGACTCCAAGATGCAAGAACAGCAGTATGGTTTCCGGCCCGGTCGAAGCACCTTTAACCATATATTTGCTGTGCGCCAGATTGTTGAGTAATTGTGGGAGTTCGGTCATCTGATGTACATGTGCTTTGTTGACTTAGAGAAAGCCTATGACCGGATACCGAGCAAAGGTCTATGGGCATGCCTGATGGGATCGATGTTTAGTTTGTATGGGCAAATTAATCACTGTTTTATTACTTTTACCATTAAAGCAGGCCAAGATTCTAAGATATTTTATATGGCATTGAAGGGTCGAAAACTTCAAGAAGCTCAGCTGTGCAGTGAGAAGAGAATTTAGCTGCGATATGGAAGATGAGCGGCTCTTAGAGCTAACATCTCTAAGCTTCAGGCGACTTTCTGAAGCGTGGAAAGATCGATCTATGCGGACAGCACGAAAGATTACAATACCGAAAACCTTCCTCTTCTCAATCCTCGTCTACAGCCTGGAAACATTCACCCTTTTAATCGATCATGAAAATATGCTGGACACTTTCCAACAGCCTTGTGTGTGGAATATTCTGAAAGTGGGATGGTACCATTGAATGAAGAACTTAGAGATCTTGCAGATGACCAGCCCAAGAATTTTGTCCGAAAAATCAGGGACCGATGACTGCCGTGGTTTAAGAGAACCACCCGAAAAGACAGTGAAATCCTATCCAGAACAATTCTCATCTGGAAAACAAAAAAATGGGCGCAGACGCTTCAGAGGCCAACATTACACCGCAAAGCAGTTGCTAGTTGAGCTTGCCTGCAAAGATGAATATGGCGTTTGCCCTCAGCAACCAACGTCGCCTGAACCATTCTGAGAAGCCAAAGCATCAGACATCTGGATACTCTGTGTTTGACTCTGATACTTCAGATGATGACGAGAATAACGGCAACAAGAAGGCATCGATTCACTGTGAATAGTTTTTGTTAGTTAGTGCAATAATCTACTTCTCAGCAACAACGTTACAAGAGAGAGATAAGCCTTCGCTTCTTTGGAACTATATCGATGATATGTACAAAATACAAAAAACTTAAAAAGCACTATGACCACTAATAAATGTTGTGGACTGATGCTAAAAATAACTGCTTAACGAAATCTCCAAATATTTGTTCTTGGATACTTATTAGGTCGAGTGAACTGTGGAGTGGATGCAGCGCAAGTTCAATCAACGTAAAGCGAATGGACAATTGAATTCATGCAATTAAAATGAACGAGTGAATGGATGAAGCAGCTGTATATATCTAAAGAAGCGACAGTTGTGATCATCCTCTGGGACGCTTTTACGGAGACTGACTTCCGTTGCATTTACAAGACTTGATGAATGACGTGCAGATCACGTGCATCCTGCACAATCCATTAACGTTTTACTTGTTGAAATTCCAAAAGCTCCTTTTCTAAATAGCGAATGCGTGCTTTCAAGTCGTTGATGATGCAGCTTGGTCGATCTCGATTGATGGCCACCTTATTCTTTATGTTCCGAGCCCTGTTTGCGTACTTGAGCGTGTTGAGGGTCTCCACGAAGTCGCAGTCAGAAGGACTTATGCAGGCGATCATAAGCGTCTTACTAAAATCGATCCAATTTAGCGACTATGTGTTGCTCCTTTAATTATAGTCAAGCAAACCTGTTGCCACCCAGCGAGTCCTGCAACAACCGAGTCAACTTCGAGTCACGGTAAGGAACGTGCGCAACACCCAGAGGTGCATTGCCAAGTGCGCTGATCACGTTTCCAAGCGCAAGCTTAAACGAACGCTAGAAATCGGTGATTCACTCTCAGCTCATACCAGTCCACAGTTAATGCTGATCGTCTCGCGTATCCGGTGTCCGCTGATGCCAGTTCGCTTGATGCGTTCAGAGCCGGCCAGGTCAACGAAGTGAAATTTGGCACTCAGGTATTCGACTTCCTGACGACCCGCTTCCGGAGCAGAATTGCCCTACAATGAAAAGTTTAAAGAGGGTTTTAGATCCACAAAAGCCACAACGACAGTCATAAAACGATTACTATGTCAAACCAAGAAAGATTACGCGTGGGCGTAAGCAAACCTTAACGCTTAACACATCTGCCGGTAAAGTTGTGAGTTAACGATATACAAGCACAATGCTGAAGGTATTTCTCTACAAGGCCAACCCAATTCAAAGATATTGGAAATGACCATCTCCGCGTTCCTGTTCCGTTACCAGTGTTGAAACTCACTTATGCGGGCGTTATAGCAGCTATAAGCGGTAGACTAACAATGAAAAAATATCTACATAACAGCCACTGAAAAATCTTTTATGACTTTAATCGAAATCTATGTCTGCAATGGGATAGACTTCTCTGACGGAAATTTATGGGGAAGAAATATCTCTAAGAAAGCGAGAAGAATGTTTTAGCTACATGTTACCTACCTGGTGAGCAAAAATGTTACTGAAGCTGAACCGCGACGGATATCATGACTAATTAACAAACGTAACATTTCGTAGAGTCATCTGTTACTTCAAGAATAACAGATGGTCTTCACACCTCCCAAAGGACCTAGGCACTAACTGTAGGCTAAAGTTTGCAAATGTTAATTGTATTTACATAGATATGCCTATTTCATATTTTATATAGTCTAGCATGAAATGAACAGAACGAGTACGCGATCACTGTTGAAGTAGGAGCACAGATGCGCAACTGTCTTGCATCTGAAAATTGCAAACCATTTTACATCGTAAAGTAAGTCAGCTATGATGAAGATATTCCCATTTTAATGATATGCTTGAATTCCTATCTAACCCATAGTTTGGCTTTGAAAGATTCATCAAAAGATGGATATTTTACATTGGTAACCTGTGGATATACAGTACATTAAAATCGCGTTCAACTTGGGTTTTCGGGAACAGAGTGAACAACTGCGATATCAGGAACCCGAGGGATATCAGAAAATTTAAGTGGAAAATAAAATTTTATAGGTGAAACGGTAAATTCATGTTTTCACAGATTTAACTGCAAAATACGATAAAAAATAACATTAGAATAAAAAGTTTACAAATGGACTATTAAAATGTTTATTTTGCTTAAGCAAAACATATGTAGTGAAGGATAATTTCAGCCGGCGGGCTGGATCCCGCCCCTAGGTTGCCAGTTCCTGTGCTAAGCAAATAGTAAGAGTGGTACAAATGAGATAATATAGGGAATTTCTTAATAAAGCTACACGTAATACCGAATGCAATACTCCGAGGGTTGCAAAGACGCAGTAATTTGTTTACGCCACCGCTGACAGCAGTCTGTCGCAATAAAATTAAAACCAAGCTGTTACGTAGAAAATAACTTGCGGTAAAAATTGAAACGAAGTTAATTTCAGATAAAGTATATAGTAAAATCGAATCAACTTCCTTAAAAAAATCGAGTTTAACAGAGAAAACAAATAGAATCACTTTAGAGGACATGAATAAATCCGCGCATATCCTATTCAGCGTAATGATCACGTTATAACAAGGTTATACCGTATAAAGATAAAAAACAATGACCTTTATGGATGAATAACTTTAATCTATAGTGACATAAGAGATTTAATTGCACATACATAGCAGAAACAAGTCTAGAACATAACCTACCATCACTTCGTCCTGGCACGTGACCAGTTTCCTCTGCGCAATTAGCAGGGAAAACAAGGCATGTGAACGACTAGACTGCGTGTTCATATCTGTGCAAGCCGTTGATCTGTACAATATTCCGTTGTGCAGCACAGAGATGGTCTAAAACGATTAGCAATTTGCAACAATAGCAAACGCATACGTTGAAATACCTACATCCTCAGCTGAGTTTACGGGCACCACCGTAGCGTTTCTAATGTATATGTTGCCTGACCGATCTTCGTGTATCTGAATTTCCGCTTTACTCTAAAAGCAGGTACGAGTAACGCAGGGCATATTGTGATAGCTTGAGATTTAATCCTTTTACCTGCTTCCTATTCATGTCTAACAAATCAACCACCGTATCGTTGTAAATCTGAAAATAACAACTTAGATCAGACCATTTGGGGAATTCATGAAGTAACTCATTTAATATGTCAGTTTCTAACATGGTTTCGAAAACTCATTTAGATTATGTGTTCTTTTTCAGAATATGTATCATATGTATTACCGATTCAACAATCACTGATACAGCACCCATGACTGATGCCCATGTGTTTCTTTTCATTGCTTATTTTTCTGCCAAAAAAGGACGATCCTAAGGAAATGTAATCTAGCATCATTCCTGTTTTGTGAGGCCATTTTTAGCGGCTTAGTGAAGGCTGCTAAGGACTCGTCTGAACATCTCGCGTTCGGATATTAGGAGGTGTTTACTGTGTTCAATCAGCATATTAGTCAATTATGCACGAACCTAAATCAAGGAAGATTTGATCAGGTGTTTGCCGAATGCAACTTTACAATTGCTTTTAAATTACAAATTCTGACTTACGTAAGAGTTAATGGGGCAAGTGTTTATGTAACAAGAATTTTGTGCATATCGAATTTATCCCACCCTCACATGTCACTCACACTCTATTGTTTACATATTTACAGGACGTGTATACAATAGTACGTTAACATCTTTATCCACAGAATGCATACACAAATTAGACTTCAATATATAATTGCCAATACAAAGTAACATTATAAAGTACAAATATAATGAGAAAATAGGAAAAGAAGTGTTTGATCTCGACGTCAGACCTTCCTTACGAAATTATAAACAGATGACTGAAAAGTGGTTTATTTCTCCTAGTCATAAATCGTTCGATAACAGGCTGAAGCGTCATCTATTTCTCTTCGGACTTCGAGGAATCGTGAGGTATTCGAATCCATGCTCTACACTTCCGTTAAAATCGCACACGTGATTATCATCCTTTTTATCACGAAACGGTTCAGTTGCTTTGCTGATTTTGAAGTCTCCGTTGCACACACTTCTGCTACTTCTAATTCAGTGAGCTCTTCAACTGATAATTCATCCGCATATGAGTCAATCAATTCTTCAATATTATGTTCATCGAACATTGAATCTGTTTCAACCAATCAGGATATTTTCATGCTGCTTCTTCAGGTACTTTAGCATTACGAAAACCAGCATGGTTCTTAAATCTAGCAAGTCAATCATTACTTGCCACAAACAAATGGGAATCGTCAGCACAGTTTCAATTCGTCTGCGACACAGCCCTCGCCCTTGTCTGAATTGTGATTAAGCCTAGCGAAACGCGAATTTACATTTGGCATTCTATCGACATAAATAAATACGATCAAAATACGTTTTCATTATTGTTGTTTTTGAGATAATAGCGGCAAATACTTTCACATATAACTTGAAAGAATCGGTATCTGTGGTTTACGAACAAGATCAGATCAACTCTGATGCGTTTATGCATGGATTCACCTTTTCCACTTTGGCATCTTTTGCAGCCTTTTGCGGTTGTACCCTGCCACAGCACACGCAAACATTAAAAATTATTAATTAAGTGGATGAGTTGGAGTACACATCAATACCCTGTCAAACAGTAAACAATGCGAGACCAAGAAAGGCACAAGCATGCTGCATGTGGATTGTCGACGTTGCGGAAGACAGCTGTTAGGTGGCATGCGAGTAGCGTAGACGCGTTGTTGGTCAACTCATTTGTGCAACTCCAAATTTTTCCCACAACCCTTTCAAGAGAATTTATGTAAGATGGATTTCTCCGTAGGTCTTTTTTGAAATAACAGCTTCGTGATCGAGGAAGTATCGATCGACAGTTATCGAAGACCTGCATGATAACCATAACGAGCCTCATCTTCAAGAACAATAATTTATTGTTTAAGATCTAACACGATAGATATCGCGTCTAAGCAAACCATTAACCACAAAATATAATAATCCGGGAAGCCAAGTGTGAAACCTATTGGCCCGCTATGACTGCAAATCGCTAATACTAATGGAATTTAGTAATTACTAATAAGTTGAAAAATGAAGTCGGTCAACCACTTCCCTGTTTAACCTTCGCTTTAGCTGATCGTGTACAAGTTAACATTAAATCGCCTAGCGAAACTTACCTCCACAAACTGAACTTCCACCTTGAAAACGGGTTCGACATGCGAGCCTTCGGCCCCTGCGAGTTGAGTCTTCTCGATCAGCTGAAACAGGTCTGCGACTGCTCTAGGGATGATGCCCCTTTCCTCGTCGGTCGTGGCGTCGATGCCAGATCCCATCGTGTACGTCTTGCCACTGCCTGTCTGGAACATAGTTTACTTCCGTAGTAACAGCGAATGATTACCTGGCCGTACGCAAACACCGTCGCGTTGTAACCTCTGAGGCAGCTGCAAAATTACAGATAAATAAATAATCATAATGACAATAACACGCGACTTCTTCAATGACAACTGAAACGACCGGCGTACCCTTCGACAAGTGGGTGCACGCAGAGATCGAAGATTTCGCGCTGCGTCGTC